AAACCAAATGCACCTAAAGCCTGGGCCAAGCCGGGACTCGAACCCAGGCCTCATCGGTGCAAAGCGAGGAAAGAACCACCACGCTAACCCGCTCCCCCCCTATAGGTTGACTGCTTTTCAACCCATTTCTCTGAATCTCTGAACCTTCAAAACCTCTCCAGTTAGCAATTCTTACTTACACGTAACTCCTTACCAAAATGCTTTGCCTTTCCTTGGTGACCTGAACGTTCTACCAGAGTAAAGTGCAGGATGTCTTACACTGTTCCCAAGAAAGTTCCAGCATTATTGCTTTATGAAAATTTCCACCAGACTTCATACCACAAAGTGCAATGTCACTGGAGGATGTACAGGGTATGAGTGGCCACTTTAAATTAAAGCTGAAAACTGCTGGCAAAAGCTGAAATGTAGAAAGTTGCCATACTTTTGTACAGGCCAAGTGTACAAAAACAGCTAAAATTCAGAGTCAACATCTTAATAAAAAAGGCTGAAATCAGCTAAAAAGCTGAATTCCCATACCTCTGGATAATACATATATGAATGTGAATTGAATTTAGGAATTTTCCTGGAGCACTAAATTGGAGTTTAATACCATGCAAAGGAAGTGTACATAAACATTTGATCCAGTAGATTTCTGCACATTGTCAAAAATAGCCCATAAACCCATCTCAAAACCTGATGTGGGTCTAATGTTAGTATGACAAATGAGTTTTTGTTCCAGTGAAACAAAAAACAGAAAGAAACTGGTCGTAGAAACTAATTTAGTACAAAGATCTGATTTGGGAATCTCTTTGATGCAGTTGTGCGTAAAATTTTGGCTTGAACCGTGGGATAAGTGGATGTTTTCAACAGAGATGAACATGCATTCAGGTATGTTTGGATGTCAAACTGAGTGATTTCTCCAAATGGCCATGCACTGGCTGCACTCTGTTTTGTGTTGGAAAATATGCCTTGATAGTGTGTGGTGTCTTTCACTTGGGTAATGTCTTCAAATTATGGGGAAAGAGAGCAGGAAGAAACTTCGGGATACATTTATTATAACAAGAGGCATGCAAATATTTTTGTGGTACATTACACTTAAGTTAAAAAATTATGGGTTTTTGTCTTGAAAAAGAAAGGCGTGATTACATGTACATGTAATTGAAACATGTAGTGACGTACAGAGTAATTGTAATAATGAAATTGAACTTTGGTTATGAAATTAATCAAAAGTCTGATTTTTTAAAGGTTTGTTTTCAAGAGGAATTTTTACAAGTACATAAAACTTTGAATGACAAAATGTAGCCTGCAGTTGATAAGAAAGTGATTCAGTTTTATCTTGGAGATATTCTGAGTGCAATAAATGAAATTTGATTACTGAAATGCATCTGTTGTTTTATAAGACTCTTTCAAAATGCTGGATCCATTATTTGTGCTGAGAAATTTCTAAGGATCTACTTTATGAGCTTGTTGAAAACAGTGATTACTTAATAATTGAGTTGAACTTGACAACCATAAACATAAAATACAACTTGGTTACATACCAGCCTGTCATCAATTTTATGACAACTGCTTCGCTTGGGATTTTGCCCTTGCACTGGTTACTGAACTATTCACTGCCGTATTCAAGCATATACAAACTACTTGTGTTCGGTATTTTGAAATCAGGAAATGCAAAGTCTAAAGCTCTGTTGAACTTGGGATGATACTGGCATTTATAATCAAATCAACTACCAGATCCATCGCAGTGATTCATTGCTTCTTACATCATTTATGTATTTATGACATGTTTAATGAGGTTAAGTAACACCTACGGAATCAGGTAGGGACTGAAAACCCAATCCACATGTAGACCGAGCCGGGTTTCGAACCCGGGCTGCAGAGGTGAAAGGCGAGGAAGGAACCATTGCCCCACCTGACTCGGCCAAAAAGACAGTCACGAGAGCTCATTGAGAAAACTGACTTCCAACGCTGAAAGAGTTGGAAAGTATCCCTTAGCCTTGAGACTACTTATATCTCCACAGACCAAGCAAGAAATTTTATTCAAAAGATACAGCCAAAATGGTCTTTTTATGAGCTGCAGAAGTCCCACAAGAAGAATGTGGTTTCAAGCACCATTTTTGAACCAGTTTTCAACCACAGCTTCTGCGGCGTATAGCCATCAATGGCATTACAGCTTCAATAGAATGGCCACTTTAGATCTGTAAATGAGTCTCCATATATTCTTTCATAAATTATCAGGAATCAGAAACTCTGAAGGGATTGGTGTTCTACGGTGTGATACATTCATCTTTACAGAATTGCTCTCGACCAGATTTGGGGCATTCCTCAGATGAAGTGGAGTTGCCATGACGATGCGAGTGAAAGTGTTCCACGGCAGTCCAGCAAAAAGGAGATTAATCTAGCAATTCGGGGATTAATGTATCCAATTTCATCTGCTCATCACGCTGGAAAGAAGCTGCAGTTACTATCAGTGCCAGCGAGTACTGAATCGAGGATCCTTAGACCTTGTGGTACCTCCGTTCTGGAGTCTGCAGGGTTTCCAACCTCGACTTTCACACTATTTACAACTTCTGCCCAACTTGGAGTTGGGTAGCTGAGGAACATCTGCATGTATACGTTATAATTATCCTCTGGGCCCAATGATAAAAGGCCTTTGATTTGGAACCTGGCCTGGGGGCAAGGTCAGACCACTGTAGTCATCAGTTCCAATATAATTTGGGCAGACAATTTGGACCATACATGTATTTAAGGACACGTTTTTGGGAGATATCACCTACAAATGAGCCATTTCAGTCTGTAATTTCATAAAAATAATCACATTTTATTCAATATTCTAACAGTGCATCTGTACATCATTTTTTTTAAAAGAAAATTCTCACGTGACACCACAAAATGAACAATGCACAAAATAACTGGCGATGGAGATATTTTGATAACATACATACGTATGAACCGTGCCAGGATAATATGACATCATATCGCAAAGTTTTCGAACGAGGAACAAAGAAACTGAACTCCTTTAGTGACCAAGAAAAAAGACAATTGCAACTGGTAACACTCAAAATGGCAAGTCATGATAGCCCATCTATGTAGTCATAATGTCACTGTTTAACACAAATCTAACAACATTTACGAGTAAACATGCTTAATCACTAACACGGAACTACCAAGCTACAATTTTCTTTGCAATTTAAAAAATAGAACAGTTTCTTTTCAAAGGCATTGACAAGTCTTTTCTCTCACCCTCTCATCAATCCTACAAACACGAGTAATTCTGGGCCGGACAGGTTATCAGCCCCCCCTTCGTCTAGAAATATATGATTTCCACCGGGTACATGTCTGCATTGGAGGGGTGTAACAGTATGAGAATCATCGAACACTGATGGGATGAGCTCCACTGTGGGTAGTCTGAACAAGGCCACTGGAAACAGTGTCTGTATCCTGAGCAGTGATGTAAGGGGGGGAGGGGAGTATGGCATGTGCCCCCCTCCCTGAACTGTGCACAGCCTATGTGCAAGCTGCGGTTCATTGGCAAAAAAAGGGTGTACCCTTGGTGCAGCCTCCCTCCCCCTTGTAGAAGTTTCTACTTACACCACAGTACGCCTCAGTCCATCAGCTGTGCATGTTTACCATCTTTGCCATGCATTAAAAAACACTGGGGTGTGAAACGTGGGCAGTGCAAAAACTGCAGAGGGCTACGTGGAGAGGGGAGGCCGAGTAACATCTGGCCGAGATGGCATCACCTGTGTAGAGCAGCCTTTTAACTATCATGTTATCACCTGCCTCGGTCGTTAACCACATCCGTAACAGTGGCTCATTTTTCTCGCACAGCAACTCTGCTGTTTTGCAGATGGCTGCCAGCACCTTAGAAAGGGTTGGCCAACTATATCTACATAAAGAAGGTACATATCTATCATTTCCTTATTTCTTCCGTCCATGATCACTGTAACTACTATTAGAGTAAGCTGCATCATTAACAGCGTTAGTTTCCTCCACAAATGTGACGTAGCACATCACAATCTGGCACATTTGAACAAGCAGTCCATATTGAGTAATTTTAACATTAATTTGTCGCGTGCCAAGGAAAAGGATGTTGGCAGCCCAGGCACGCAAACGTTACTTTTTGATATAATCAGTTAGGCTCCCATTATTAAATCAATAATTACGCAAGTTTGAATATTAGATTGATGAAGTTTGGCTGGTTAAAATAATTTTGTGCATTTTAATAGATAAAAAAACCTTGAATTTAACAGTGATTTACATTTTTATGTCAACAACCCTTTGCCAGGAACACCTCGAGCCTCAACTGTGTGCTAAAGCATGTTAATTAAATCTTAAGGACCTTCTGCCACGTTGATTGTCTCCACGCTTCAGTGGAATGCCAGCACATTTGCTGTTACATTAGTTTTATGTGCTAATGTCCTCATTCCAACCAAAAATAATGAAAAAACCATCTTTCCGTCCTCTTCATTCTGTTAATGACGTGATCAGGATGACGTCGCTCCTTAAGTCAACATGTACACCAAATGAAAGGTATTTCAATGCTCAAGTTCCCCAAAATGTAAATTTGACCGTTTGAATCATTTTTTCACCCTTGCAACCTTCTTCCGGGCACCCAAAGAATTATTAAAACATGGACCTTACCATATCCAATGCTGCCATTTTATGAAATGTTTTTCAAGCGGTTATTGTATTGTGAGATCAGACTGCTTGAGGTGGGCAAAATGAGAAATGGGCATTTAAGGTATGGGAAAGTAAGGTTACTGAGAAATCGTCACTCATGAAAACCTTGCAGAACATTTTAAACATCAGTACTCAGTAAAATGTTCTTTTAGAAATCTCAGAAGTAATGAAAATCACTCCCACATCAGGTTTCAACTGTTCCTAAGATCATAGCTCTGCCCACAGCTGCTATCAAGCTGTCTGTCTGTCTGTCTGTCTGTCTGTCTGTCTGTCTGTCTGTCTGTTTGTTTGTTTTGTTTGTTTGTTGGGGTGTTTGTTTGTTTGTTTTGTTTGTTTGTTTGTTTGTTTGTTTTGACAAACCACACCAGAAACCTACAAACTTGTCAGGTTTCAAATCCAGCCACCACACAGATATACAAATTACAGTTACATGTTAGAAACCTTCCTTAACCCTTTTCTTTGGATAATTAAACATGTTCTTGAAAGAAATATCAGAAACTTCAGCATGTTTGAAGAAGCTATGGGCCCACAAATCAAACAGGCTGAATTTAACACAACTTAATGAATAAACAAAATTCTTGGGACTAGAGGGATCAATGGTATACTGCCCTCCAACATTTGAGGGTTTTTTTCAAAATCAGAACGATACAACTGTTAGTTTTTGTCAAGTATTTGAGTTGGCCTCCACAGCATTAAAGGGGCAATTTCTTTTGTTAGGAAAAGTTAGGACCAAAATTTTAATTGTGGGAAAGCGAATTTGTCCCAATGACATTTTTGGCCATTACACCATCTGTATTTCCCCGCACCAATGGAACAAACACATTAAGCAGTACGCATAAATTACATGTACGTTTCAACTTTCATAAATGAGAATAGATCACTGGTCGCACCTCCAACTTGAGCCAAATGACGGAGTTAGGAGATCTGTGCCAATTCGTCAATCTTAACTTTTAAAAATCAATAATAAAACTTATACATCAGTAACAAAGCATGACGTTTGAATCACTGAACAGGTCTAGGAATTGTCAACACACACTCGTTTTATCTATTACTGGATGTTCTCTTCTTGGAGCAGAAAAAAGTTAAACTTCTTCCAATTTGGGGTAAAGTCAGCTCAAACGCAGAGGGAAAAACCTGATGCTGCAATCCTTTCTTTCTAGATATTTGTCCATTGTCTGGACTGGTGCATTGCTGGAAGGTCACTCTGCTACTGGGAGATACAAAGTCTGCAGAATGTGGACTGACATTTCTACGCATTTAAAGACAAATTCTGCTTGAATTGCATTTGCTCGAAAATAAAACCTGCATGTGATATGATGCAGTGTCATAAAACAATGGCACAACAGCATTATGCACACTGGCAATAATAGGGCCACTAAAAACAAAGCCACTTGGACACTGTAATTTGATTGATACAGAATGGTCACATGAGCCATGTTCACTCAACAAAAACCACTGTTTACCTCATGTACACCGAGTATCGCATATCATGTATCTACTCTTTGTATCTACACACATCAAGAGTTGCATACAAATTGCATTATATACAATGCTAGCAGTATGTGCATGTATATGTGGGGCATGTGCATAGGGTATGCAAGTCCTGAAAAAAAGCACTGGAAATTCTCAATCTCAACTCTAAAGAGAAAGCTCACAGAAACTGAAAGACTGAACTGCTGTTATTAAATGGAAGTGATTCACAATATGTGCCCCCCCCCAAGTTATCCCCAAAATGCCAATACTTGACTGGCACTCTACACAAATGCATAAAACTAAGCAATGCTTCACCGGCTAGACAGCTTAGAGACGGTGGAATCTAACAAGTGAGATCCATCAGAATTGACAAATAACAAAAATGTTGGAGCGATCTAGGCATGCCCTGTTGGATCATTCCATACCAATTCAAATATCCTCTTGTATGACCCAATTAAGTTTTGCCTGGACAAAATTACTAAAAAAACCTTGACATACCAAACAACCGAAAAAAAAGTTTTAGCTCCATAAGTTGAAAACTTTTCATGATAGAGCCCCTGAAAGTGTGGAGGCTTTGCCACTTTTTGCCAACCACAAATTGCTCGTTTTTGTAACATCTCTAAAGGCCTTCATTGTTTCCGAATCATAAACAATAATAAGCAAACCATTTAGGACATTGAGCTGAAACTGTCTTTTCCTTTGTTCTGGTATTGAAAGATATGTACAAGATTTTTTTCAGGCAAATGTAAGTTAGGTTACACGGGAGGTCCCCTGATTTTGTACGATTTAGCACAAAATGACACTTTTGTAACAAGAACGGGATTAGCAAGATTTGGTTGTGAAAAGATGCATAAAGTGTGATGATTTTGAGCCACATGTGATATCCATCGAGTTGCTTTGTGTCAACCTTTCAATGTAATAAACATCACAACCGATTTGATTGGTCACAATCGTTACCTCTTGACATTACTGACACCATATCACATGCTGATTACAGTGACATGGACCATGTTTCTTCTAACCCTTTGAGGACGCCTTACCATCCAGGGCCTTGGCTCAAACGATATGTATGCCTAGCCGTCAAGGTACTGTGTAAATTAAATCAACTCTTTCTATACATTTGGGTAACTGTATATTGCTGTTCAAGATGGACACCTTCCATTATCTCTTGGCACTGCCTACTGACTTCAATACCAAAATCTATTTTCAAATCTGAATGATTCATCTAAAATTAAGTAACACAAGATTTTTTTGAGCTCTTAGTTTTAAGGATAGATTGTGAAAAATAGCAGTTTGGGACTCGGTTTGAGATACACATGTACATGTATGATGTTCTTACTACTGTAAACAGATTTTCCCACAAAAAATCTCCAGTAATATAGCCAGAAAGATGGAATGACCATTTTACCCAATCGCCGATTTTACCAATTAAGCTTCAGGAGTTGAGTTTTCTGGGCAACCTTACCGTTTGTCTTTATTCAGTTATTTTAGCTTGTAAATTAGGTTTCATTTCAAAATGTACATGATTGAAAAACAAAATCTGCATACAGAATAGCACAATACTGCTTTCTAAAAAATACTTCACAGTAAACCCAACCTTGATCAACTGGTACGAAAATGAGGTTGCTATGGTATCAACAATTACCATCAAGGATCCAAGCCAGCTTAAGGGTTAGATTAATCAGATGCAGGAATGTGGGTCTTTCTTACTTGAGTAGGCTTCCCCGTGGTCCTGTTGCTAAGGTACTGACCGATCTCCTATCAAGCATTGTCTAATCAACAGGGTGGCACAAAGGCTTGGTGGCTGGTCTCGGTGTCTTCACAGGGGACTCTCTGAGGTCTTGGTATAGCTCTTGACTCGAGAGAAGATCAACGGCTTGAACTTCTTGTCCACTTCAAAGTCAGTGACGGTGGTGCGACCGGTGGGCCTGTTGAAAGACAAGCAAATGTGCATGAAACAGGATTCGAAACACCTACCCCCGGACTGCCATTCCAGTGGCCATATTCAATCAAAATGGTTATTTTCTGGTTCCATATAAAGATCCTCTGGAAGTATGTCACTTTACACTAATCCGAGAAGACATCATTAATGCTGAAGCAGACGCTGGAGCGCACATTCTTTGCACTGACGCACGTGTGCATTTTGGCAAATTTGAGCACCCTGTTAGTGAAGAGGCTCACACGTCACCTGTCCATCAGCGTGGTGTCAGTGCAGTAAAGGCTCCTAAATCTGCCAGGAAGCGATTGTGTGACAACACAGTATGCAAGCATGACATGGTTTGAGGGTAGATTTCCCCATAGGAACTAGCTATCAACTGCCAATACCTCGCAGAGCTAAAATTTACCATCTTCCTGAAATTAACCAGTACTATTTGTTACCACACCTCAGACATATTCTGTGGCCATGGAAATTTCAGGAGCATGGGAACGGTAGCGTGTAAGTGTGCTGCCATCTGTTCATGTGCAGTGTACATGTTGCATGGCTCCGACGATACTCACGTAAGTATCCTTCACTCGGGCAACAGTTTCAGTGAACTCTTCCAGGAGAACAGTTCAGCATGCTAGCACGCTTGATTGTACATGGATCCTGACATGCAAACTTGGTATAAAGCAAAATCATCAACTGGCACGTAACTACATCAAATGGACCAGTGAGAGTTCGGCTCTCAATCGTGAATATGTATGAGGTATGGTAATCTCATTTTTTTTCCCTTGCTTGGCAACCTCCTTCCCAGAAGCCAATTACTCTCTTTCCCTTTACCTGTGGTGAGTATGACAGCTGTAAGACCGCCAGTCCAACTTAAAGTTGGGACGGTGGCCGCAGGACAGAATGATGAACTCCTGCAACAAAAATGTGTGGAATTTCCAACTTGAGATATAACACAATTGCAACAACCCTACACATTCAGTTACAGCACAAATGCCATATGCAGACACACCACTTTGCAACATTACTGCTATCTGTTATGTCATTGCAGATTTCAAGCAAAACTAAGCCCTCAACAGTTGAAAACTTAAACTTGATAAAAAACAGTCCTAATACATGCACTTCCATGGTGTAAAAAAGTTCAAGAAGATAGCCAACTACTGTCCGATCTGCCAAGGCAACATTACTGAACAACAGTACAGTGGGCAATCAATCGAGTGCCTCTCACAGAAAGCCTGAGTGAAGCAAGATGCCCTCACTTAACTCCAACTGGGCAGGCACAATGTCGCCTTCTACAGTTCATGTACAGGGCCAATACCACTGATGCATTTTGGGCAAGGAAGGGTGAAGAAATCTTGTTCCGAATCGAATTCCACTCACCACATAGAAAATGTGTTCAGTGTCCAATTTGGTATTCATGTGGCGCTTGTACCGGATGTAGCGCCTCAGATTGTTGTCGTACACCTTGTTGTTCTCTCGGCGCAGCACACCAGTGATCTGGGTACCAATGAAAGTGGTCAAGCTGGACTTGTGAGATCACTCACTTGAGTGGCACACATTGCCTGGTTCTAGTGGATAAGTCAAGAATATTGCTCTACCCAACCATGATACTCAAGGCCAATGACCTACATGAATCTCCCCACGGAGGAAGCGAGAGATGGGGTTTGATGGTAGGGGGTGATTTCTTCACGTGCATGATGTGATTTCTTCAAGCCTTACTTGGACAAAAAAGTCTGCACTTCATACGGTGACATGACAATGCTGAACATGCATGAATTGATTAGAGCAGCAAGCAACCCATAATGTCTTCCCTGTCCAGACTTACAATATGTTTTCACCTCTCTAATATCGCAAACTTCAAATTGTTCAAATCAGCATAATTTCCTCAGCAAAAGTCCAGTTTCAACGGCCGAACTGTCACTGTGCAACAGGGAAACATCTACAAAGCATCCTGTCAAACTGCAGCCAAGTGTCTAACAATATATGTCACTAGCGAAACTCAAGTCTAAAAAATGAGCTGGAGAGTTGAGCAAAACGAATTCCATAAAAGGGTCATCCTGGAATTTGTGCACTTACCAAGTCCCCGTCCAGCCGATAGTGCCCCACAACAACACTCTGCAGCGTTGTAGTCTGGCTCCGGAGCTTACCAACTATCAGCTTGGGTTCATCTGGGGCACTATACATCAGCATAACACCTAAGACAAGAAAGACACATCATTAAATGTAACCCAGTGTTCCATGGAAATCCAACACGAAGCAGTCCCTACACCTATGGAAACCCATCTCCCATGGACACACCCATCCTATGAAAAACCTTCCCCATCAAACTCTTTCCTCATGGAAACATACAAGCCTGTCTCCCCCGCTAGCCCTACCTCAAGTCAATCTCTCCCTCTCAGAAATCCCTGAGGAAACCCCCTTACCCCAGTCGACACTCGCCTCGACATTGCGTGCACCTCAATTCCAGAGACAGTGCTCGGTCAGTTACCAGTCTTGAAAATTTTTGACTGGTTATTGCGCCCTCTGGAGGTTGCTATGGCTCATTTTAAAATGTTGTTTTTTGAAACAGTTAAAACCCTGGAAGATTTCTTTTCCTAGTTGTATACATCAGCTCAAAATTAGATGGCATCTATGAAAACTAAAACGAACCTTCAATTTTGGGGGGATTTTTGAAGTGCTATTGAAAGCTGAATTAAAACAGTTAAAATCCTGGAAGAATATCTTTTCTAGTTTCACGTGTATTATAAAACACATAGGGACTGGCCAAATTCGGTCACTGGTACACGTTTATGCCCCCAAGGGACTGTGAGAAACCAGAAAAAGGCCCGGCCTCTTGAAGTAAGAGCCTCTTTTGGTCGCTCACAGTCCCTTGGAGACACAGATGTGCACTTGTGACCTCATTGCCAGTCCATATGTGTATAATAGTACATCTTTATGTGCTCTTCAAGAAGAAAGCACATGAAATATTTTGAACATGAGTTGGAGCAAAAGCACCTATGGTTCGTCTTCAGTTTATTTCAGTTCAAGTAACCTATCAAGAACAATATCCCAGTACCAACCATCAGGGAAGAACCTGACATATCTGTAGTATTCCACCATGTGCCAGGGCCTGTACAATCCGTCATCGTCTGCCTCCCCCTTCCGGAAATAGGTGTTGCGGCTGATGTAGAGGCCATTAAAGTTTGGGTGTGGCCGTTCCAGAAACATCTGCCGCCAGGAGATGTACTCCTTTGTCAGGCAAAGATTGGCACCAAACATACTGTATGACCAAGACAACCAACGGTCCAAACGGTGAACTTGTTGTATTTTTTTTTTTAATAGTGGAATACAGGTAAACTAACATGCAGTTGCTTGGCAATGTGCTTTTTGTCACTGATGGTCAGATCATTCCAAGATGGCATCCAATTTTGAGGGGCGCCCTCTTTTGGAACAAACCATGCTTTAACGAGCCCTTTTGCAGCCTTCTTTTGAAAATAATTTAGCCTCTCATTAAAGCCTGTTGAAGTTTTGATATTTTGCCATTTGGAATGAAATGTATGATGGTGTACACTTTTAATTCATCAGTCACAGGTACTGCCACATTTGGACGGGCCATTACAGCAATGCAACATTCTGGCATGTGGTTCTAGCCATGTGTTTCGGTCTGGCAGCAAAACGAGCCCCATCTTTACCCAAAATATTACGCCTGTGCCAACTGTTTACATCTTTATATACCTTAACACGAGCAAGGTCAGTCGCTCAACTTGTTTACCTGGCATAAGCCTGGGTAAAACAGCAGAAGTTTCGTCAACTTTAAACATTGCATATCTCGAGTTGACACTGATGAATTCCTTATTGCATCAGCTGAAGTGAGATGTACATGTGTAACGAATAGATGATGCCTGTGCCATCCATGTTTTTTGCACAGTCAATTAAATTTTTGTGAGCGGAACATTTCAGTTGGTGTTTTTGCTCAACAGACTCCAATGCTTGAGAAAAGCAAGCCATGCCATGAAAACACCACAATCCTTTGCAGTCTGCTAGAAGAGGCTTTTTAATGAGCCAGTTTGGTATTCCAACAGCACATGCTCAGTACAAGGCTATTCAGGAACAGCTACGCACGTGCACGAGATAGTCTGTCCCATCGGTGATCTCATTTTGAACCAGGAAGTATAGTGCAAACGAATAGACTACAAGCCCGTGTTGGCTCATGAACTGCTTCTCCCACTAATGCCTTTTACACACACTACGGTACATGTGACGCACAGATATAATGCAAATTAAAACAAAATTACTGAACACATGGCCTGAAGGCCCATTTTGTGGGATTCGGTCACGAGTCAGAGTGCAAAGTAGTGCTGGTCTATTTTACCCAAACGAGATTTGGGATTTTCTTTTGGCCAAGAAAATGCCCAAGGATTACACAGGTGTGGAGGGTTTTACCTGAGGCATGCCCGGTGCCAAAGAGCGGGGTCACGGGCGCAGACGTAGAACCCACGACACACAAAGGACAACAGCTCCAAGGAACGGAGGTCCAGGTCGCTGGACACCACCCAGCGGAAGATGTACAAGAGAAGCTCCACTGGTAATGCTGAGATGTGCGTGCTCTAAAACAAATAGACAACATTCAGCATTTATGTGCTGTCCCAAGTCACGACATCAGGGTGTTAGCCTGCACTTGAAAATGAGACGTCCATACTGGCCATTGCTTTGACTTTACAAGAGTCATTTTGCTACAGCCTAACTTCTCACTGATGAAAACCAATTTTGGATCTTTATTTTTACCGCCTGCTGGAACTCGGGTTCACAGTGGGACTTTATGTCATTGGTAGTGAGTGCATTCAGCTCCGATTCCAACTCCTCTATGCCATCACGATCTGCATCATCCTCGTTTCCGTCATCATCAAAGCTGCAGAATTGACAGAGAAAAAAGCAGTTCAAAATACACTGAACACGAACAACTGACATAATTAGGATTTGGCCCTGGGGTGCCCAGAATATTAAGCTATTTATACAGGCATGCAATAACTGAAAGTAATGATGAAAAATGGTATGCAACATGATGTTTTACAACACAAAAAAGTTGAAATTGCTCAGTATGGCAATTACTGGTGCTTTACATTATTTTTGTAGCACCCTAGACGAGGAATCAAAGGTACGACAAGGAAGAGCTCAGCCATGCCAGTCTGTCTGTGATGTCATACCTAACTAGACTGCTGATTGGCCAAAATGATAACATCAGCGGTGATATGTCTTGGAAAAGCGACTCGTGCTTCTAAGGCCCAAAAAAAGACTCCAGTTTCTGGTCATAGGCTTGGTCCAAAAGTGATGTGGTGACGCAGTTTTTTTCCTCCTCTTTTTTTCCTTAGAAGTGATGTACATGCACATATACTTTAGAGCACATGGCCTTGTTGCTATGAGAAGTGTGAATTAACAACTTTGAATTAAGAAAAAGACCATAAAATATGACGAGAGGCAATGGTTTCAGTCATCTCACTCAAACAAGAGGCTTCTATTCTTGGCAGGATTGAGCTTGTTAAAATACAGTAGCACAACCATGGAAATTACATGTGAAAAATAAATGTTCAGCTCCAGATTCCGGTTTTCAATTAAATTCTCATGAGGTAGCTGCATATGACATTCTTTGCACATTGTTTTCTGCTTTAGCTTAGAGGAAACAAATTGCACGTCAAATGTGAAAAAATAGATGAAAACAGTTCAGCTCCACAGTCAAAATGAAAATAAAATTCTCATGAGGTAAATGATATACTGTGCACATTGTTTTCTGTTTTAGAAACAAGCTGCATATACAATATTGGGGGGGGGGGGGATTCAGCTCAGAAAATAAAATCTCCTCTCACTCTAATCAACCTAAAGTTGATCTTGGCAACTGACAATGCATGAGTTGTAACGTACTTACACATATGGTTGTCATAATGTGATGTCCATTGCCACTGCATGCACTGCATGCTAATATACCGCCACTGCCTCACCAACACTGAAATAGACTGGCCCCTCACGGTTTGTTGCTTAAAAACATTTCTAATTTGTATACTTATGCAGGACATAAGACCACTTCGTTTGTCTGGTTTACAGACGTGGGCCTGGGTCCCGACCAATTGGCTACGGCCAGAAATGACACCAAGTATTTGGCAGCATCTACGGCCAGTTCCCATAGAATCGTGCATAATATCAAGCCATGGCCAACTGATTCCCACACGAATGACGTCATCTGATAAGAGTGCCCGACTGAAATGTATGGAGGCCTTGGGGATTCCTTCACCGAACATATTACTCAACCCCACCCATCAAAAACACGTTCAAATTATGCGGTAGCAGAATTCCTGCCGATCACGTAAGTTTGGCGGATTTTGGAAATCATTTAATGCAAAATAAAAAATTCTTCATTTTGCCGACATGCTGTCTACGGCGAAGCGCACGGAGACCAGAAACCGGAGACTTTTTGGGGGGCCTAAATACAGCAGCTCTTTGCCTTGAGGCTTGGATTGTCTCCTCTCAGCAGCAACAGTGCCTCGGGAAACTCGTAGGCTCTGTCGTGTCGTAGGAATGTCATAGTTTTTATCATGCAGAACGTCCTTCATTGCTCGCTATGTAAAAGGACCTTAATGTGCTTATTTTGTTTACTAATAGAGCTGTGCAGCCCAACAGTGTGTGTTAGAACATTCCTAATCCGTACGTATGCTCTACGGCCAGGGCCTAATTTCATAAAGCTGCCTAAACCCTGCTTTGCAATCTGCGAACCAGTCACAAATAGTGTAGACTGCATGACGGTCAGGCTGACAGTATCCTGTGCTTGCTGATGCACTCGAAACTGTGAATGGGCTCCACTACAGCACTGCACTGCAAAAGACAGAGTGACTGGCTCTACTCACCCTTCCTGAATGTCATTCTCAGTATCGTCTTCCTTCTTGACTTGGTTGATGGTGTAGTCGGTGATCTTAGACTCCACGTCTGGCACCAGCTGAATAGCATGGCGATACTTGCAGATCGCTGGATTGAGACAGGAAATGACACAGGAACCCATACTTGGTATCAGTCAGCTACTGCCAAACTATCTAACACAATGTTCCTTAAAGCAATGTTCCTCAACACAATGCACCGTGGTGCAAAGTGTTTCTAAATCTCATTTCCATTGCCAGGGTCCGGCTTTCTGAAGAAGTGATGGGTTTTCAGTACATTCAGAGAAAAGTTTGTGGAGCAATACACGCATGAACCAATGCACACACACTGTACTCCATTCAACTACGCTACTGTGAACTTAAGTCACACGTACATGTACTTACACCATGTACACAATGCACTTTTTCTTGCACATAATCCATTTGCAAGCCAAATTTGTCGTTGTAGTTTTTTTTTTGAGCTACTGAATTTTCTAATACAAGTCATCTAAACAAGGCCTTTGGATGGCCTCTCAGGGTGACAGAAGAGGAACGAATGGCAGGTTCCATGTGAGAGATGATTGTTCACATTGAGCACTTGGGGTAATACAAAGTTTCAAACAAAATGTTGGCAGGAATTACACTTGTCCTCCTTTTTTTGGCATTAAATTGTCGGCAAGAGCCCCTCGGATAAATGTTCAGAGATGAGTCGGCGTCAGAAAAATTGCATTAAGTGGGCCCAACATAATCGCACGGTTTGAAAAAAAAATTCAGCATGTACCTTCTGTGAGATTTCCTTTTCTCTCGGCATTGACGCCTTGGATGAACAGCTCCTTGGCCTGAGATAAAATGAATGAAGAGATGCCGAGATCGTGGGGCAGGTTTTGGTTTGGAATAGCCTTTTTGAAAAACTGTGCCCGTGGCAGAAAATTCGCTAAGATGTTGGAGGGACAATATCGGGATCACTAGAAATGGTACACATACAGGGGTATATCCATCTTGGGACACGTTGCTTGTTAAACTTTTGTTGTGAAATTACATGACATGTATTGGTTACTGACTATTAGTTAATGATTATTGGTCATCTCTCATATTACCTGATTGCGCACGCTGCGATGGGCAGTGCGTTCATGCTACTTTGCACCATCAAGACCTGCATAGACAGCGCACTATACATCACTGCCGCGTGAGCCAGAATCTCACAAACATGTAAACAGCGAGAACATACTTGGTAGCACTAGCACCCTCATGTGATCGAGCACGTAAAGTTGTTTTTACCATGCTACACGCTGTATTTGTTCTTATGTTTTTACCTTTAAATGTTATGGTCAAATGTTTTGTTCTTTTGTTTTTAGTTAAAAACAACCCAACAGGTATAAATAGCAGCTCTAGATTACAGATAGTTAGCTCTTGTTTTGACTTTGAACCAATCGGACCTGTCCAGAATAGGCCAGTTACAAAGTATGTAAATCCATGTGATCGTTCCCTTCATAATTTGTGCTCTCGTCTTCCGACGGACGAACCCACCACACTATCATTATGTGTGTTTATTTTATCTAACACTTGACAAGCAAAGGTGCATTTCACATCAAGATGTTTGTGTATACTACTAAGGTTTCTTGGAGTAACTCTCTAAAACGATAATATAGCAAACTGGTTTGTGTGCGAGTCTCATACACGTACATGTTCCTATTGGTCCAGATGTAAGATATTCGCAAAGAAACATGTTGGTGATGCATTCCCCCCCCAAAAAAGACCCAACATTACCAACAGCTAAGTTTGGACAAATTACGCATGAAGGAAATAGGAAACGTAAGTATTTTCAGTCATATACATGCAAATTCTACATCCGTCTGAATGCTAAACTGGGTATATCAAAATAAGGAATGCAGTAAGCACTCTCTAATGTATATGGACATAACAAATGTAACTGTCCTGAAGACTCATATTGCGAGATCCGATCAAACTTCTTAAAGCAAAAAGTCATCTGTCAGTACCTTCGTTTCAATGGTCTCTTCTCTGTTGAGTTGCCTGGTTGTATCAACTTCATTTTTCTCCGTGGTTCTCTTTGTGGCAACGTTGGCAATTGACAGCTGCTGCTCCGGTTGCTGTAGCTGCTGCTGCCCACTACTTCTAACGCTAGCAGTGGCAGGAACTTCCCCTGCTTATCACTGGTGTCAAGCTTGGCGTTAACGACCACAAAAGGGACTGGGTTGCTGGTGGAGGGAACGCTGCCTATTGACCAGTTGGGGCGGATGCCCTTGTCCATCAGAGCTGTAAATTCAGCAATAAGAGTTCAACAGGTTTTGAGCTGTTACTGAAACTTGTAACTGTTTTCAATGGTTTAACTTCAATATCAGTTTTAAAGGGCAAAATAGAGAGTAGCAGGTGTCCTTTCAAGTTTAATTCAGATGTCAGTTTTGGTAACAGTTCTTTTTGTTGGTTGGTAACGATTAAAATTATGTCAATAATGGCACAATCGAAATTACACTTTTGCGTGGAACTGCAACATTTTCGAAATCCGGAACTGGGAAAATGACTGTATTATGAGTAGACATCCCACCGGTGGAGTTGTCTCTCTGTCAAAGTCGAGTTGTCCTAATGGACGACTTTGCAAATGGTTGAGTTGTCTCAACGGTCTAGTTGTCTCAACGGTCAAGTTGTCCGGAGTTGAGTTGGCAAATGATCGAGTTGTCCACAACATCTGTCTAGTCTTCTGCTTGTTTGTTACACCCCAAGTATAGCATTGTCCCAACTATATTTGGGAAAGTTGGGCCGTCTCGATTACATGTATACGTAGATGCATACTTTGAATGACTTGTCCAAGTCGGCAACATGACCGCGCCGAATCTAAGTTTTATTTGTGTCATGAGTGAAAAGGCAAATCAGCATACTTTTCATGTATTCAATGTGCAGCAAAAGACTGAAAAAGATTCAGAAATTCTGTATTAAAATTTGCTGACAATAGTTGGGATAGCCCAATTGTGGCACTACAGATGGGACCATCCCTACTGTAGCTGGGACCAATGTTGAAGTTGGGATGACGCATTCCATGGCTATATTGATTACATCAATTGGCACAGGGTTTCCACAGATGTCTAGAAAACCAAATTTCCAAGTTTTCCAGGACTTTCCAGGACAACTTTTTAAACAGGATTTCTAGAACTATGGGATCCATGTCCTCAGTCGGGGATTAAAAGGCCCAAATACTGAGGCATCATCACGGCCAGGCCAGGCCAGGCCAGGCCAGGCCAGCCTCCTTGACAAGTACTGGCCTTTCATGTACATGTCTATACCTCCTGGCAGATGGTTCGCAGTTGAGGTAGCATCAGCGGGGCTGGCCGGTTCCCGTACCCGGTTGCCTGCTGAAGTCCTGTCCTGCTTGCCTACAGAGCCGGCGCTGGCCAGCAGTTCTTCTCTCCACTGCTGGCGGAAGCTGGTCAGCTCCTCCTGCAGGTCCCTCGTCTCATCTGGAGGATCTTCCTCTTCTTCTTTCTCTTCCTTCTCATCTTGAAATCTCTCCCGTCGGATAAAGTGCTCTTGGTTAGCCTAATTTTTTTTTTCAAAATGGATGGGAAAGAAAAAATGGCCAAACGAGATGATGAGACAGCTGCAATGGACGACAAAGCTTTTCTAATGAATGTTTTTTTTCTGAACATCTGTATAAAGTCCAGACAAAGACAACGACAGATGGGCAGGTTGTGAACAACGGCAAAATAGAGTAAAAAATTAGAGTTTGCACACAACAGTGTGCACATGTGATCTATGTGTCTGTATACAAGAACAGGTCTGGCTAAGGACCAATGCTGAAGGCAATCAACTTGGTACAAATCTTTCAGTCAGTGACCATCGTTGTCTCAGTACAGACACCCAAAATGGCCTGGAAGCAACATGCACAAGTACCACATTTACAAGACTATAAAATACCTGGATTGCTTTGAGAAAAATTATCCTTTAAAAAAATCTTCTATACTTATAAATGCGGGATTGAAAGGTGGGCGACGATGGATTTTAACGGTTAGTTTTTCGGATGTTTGTGTTGCGATCAAGTCACTTTACTCATTAGCTATACGATGATGATGTGGCGCTTGCATTCAAAAATGCCGTTTTGAAAATCGCACAGGTTATTCTAAATACTCTTGCCAGCATGTTTTTTCTTTCCTATTTTTTGTAAGCAGGGTTCAGCTTGTAGTTGAGGTGGGTATCATGACTCTGGAAACAAATGGTATTGGTAGCACCTAGGCCCTGTGAAACCATAAACAAAAACATGCTTTTTGTGTTGACAGTGGTGACTGATACATGTTGGTTAATTAATTGGATTGGTTAATTTGTATATTTTGATACAATGTGATTAGCAATTGATGATTCAAAGATTAGGGTTTGAAGTACCTCCGCACATGGTTGAGTTATGTTGAAGCAGTTTTCTTTCTTCAGCATGAGACTGGTTTGCAATAAAGTACAGGATCCCTTGGCCCTCCATGCCTTTATTTCAGTGTTTTGGGGTCAATGTCTGGTTTTTTTTAACCTTTATTATTTTCAGTATCAAAAAGGGTCATTTTTGCTCTCTTTAATTATTAAGGGAGTGTAACTTTGTTAATATTTGCCCCCCAAAATGCGTAACACACCACTTTAAAGCTCTTTTTAAAGCCCTTTCCAATGCACTGGCTACTATTAGGGACAGAAACGTAGGAATTTTTAAAATATGTTTTTGCATTTTATTGTAAGTCAGTCTTACCAGTCATGTTATTCTGAGTTGGTTGGCACCAAAATGAACAAAATTGGTTTCAACATGAAAATAATATGTATAATTTCTCCAATTTTGATATAAAAGAAACAAAACAGAAGGCTGGGCTTACATGGAGGAAATTAACCTTAGTCCCCACAAAATCAATTTGTAAAGTATGGAGTTCATAAGTACATGTAGCTGAACAGTTGCTCAAAATAATCCCCAACTACACTTTATTTCTGTTTAAATGTACAATTTTTTAGTTAGAATTGAGAGCAACAAAGTCAGAGGAGCCACAAAATATAGCAATACTTGTTATTTCTCTTTAAAAAAAGTAAAAATACAGCACTTAGTGATAACCATAAACTCATGACACCATAGACAAAATCACCAAAGGTAGTTTGTGCCCTTGTATGGTGGCACATGTGAGGCTACTGCGAGCAACCACTGTATTGACCAGCCGCCACGCACTCACGCCCGGCGATGGCCATTTGGAAAATCATAGTGCACTTTATCGCTCAGGGGTCAAATGCGCTCACACTCACGATCTAAACCTCAATCTTTCTAATGTGTTTCTGACCCAAATTTTTCAAAAATAATTGCTACTTTCCTGTAGATGTACCGGAAAGCCCCTAAAATGCCACTTGAAATAATGCCTATTTTTAGCAGATCAAAACTCCTAGAAAACTTTACATTTTTTCGCGGAACTTTCAATGAGGAATTTAGGCAACTCAAACCCTATCCAAAAACTATGAAAATAATGTGGTCCCTTGTGTACATCAAAACGATCCATGTGCACAACACGTGCGCAGTAGCCCGTTTCAGTCCCAACTTTACCCCAAAATTTCCCTCAAAAACCAAAAGCCCTGTTGTCTTTTTTTCTGATATGAAAGAGGATATCACCAACAACTTGCTTTGATAAGGTGTTTCAAAAAAGTAGAATTTGTTCCCTTATTATAGGAACAGGATGCTAAAGGTAATGAACGCTATTTCATTTACATTATTCTTGGCCTACATGAAATGAAATTTTGAACTTAAAGTTCAAAAATTCATTTCACATAGGCCTTGGCCTACCTAGTTTTGGAGGTGAAATCTGGGACCTAAGCTACCAATGGTACCATGCTCCTGAGCTAAGGATTTGAGTTATAAGTCAATTCAGTATTTCGGTCGTGCATGGACCAACTGGCCTTGACCCTTTTTTTGATAACCAAACCATTCCGTTCCATGGCAATGCACATGTTTGCACCTAGTTGTTTTTTGACTTGCCATTCGTGGCAAGGTTCCCCTGCCTATTCAACTGTGAGGTAGCCCACCTCACTGATTTGAGTAACCATCTCAGGCTTTTCTGTTGAATTTTACTACCTCACACTTAAATGTAAACAAGACAAAAAAGAAGGAAAAAGCAAAAGAACGTAGTTATTTTGCAACAGATCAGCTGTATATTGTTCAGCTTACTCGGGTGGGACTCGAACCCACGACCTCCTGCTTACAAGTGCAGATGTCTTAACCACTCGACCTCCGAACTTGCCGGGGTCAGCTGGCCGGTCCGAGTCAAATGAAGCAGCGGGTACCGCAAACTATTTTCAAGATGTATTTTTGCATTGGGGAGATGTTAATTATATATAACGGGTTTTGCCCTTACTCAACGTATATTAATAAGGTCATCACTTGACCCCTCATCGTCTCAACGGTTGTTCCATGTCAAGACATATGTAATACACGGACTGAGCGATAAGACACTAAAACTTTGGCAGCAGTTTAGATATCTTGACATGGAAGAGCTGTCAAAACGATGAGGGATCAAGTGACGTAATGTTCAATGACCTTATTTTAAAGATGGCGACTGTGAGAGCGAGCCCGTTAGATTGAATGGATAAAGGCAAAAGGACTGGGAAATACCTGAATAACGTTAGTGAAATCATTCAATAAATGGTTTTTAGGAAGTGTAAAGGACAAGAATCATGTTCTTGTGCAAAAGAAATTGCGCCCACGATGAAAAGTGAGTGCGCCAAAACGTTCAATACGCCGACACGAAATTGCGTATACAGATGTGTGGCTAAGGAGGGATCGGGAGTGAGAGTCTGTGCCACACTAGTGGGGCTAGTTCTGATGTTGCGGGCTACTGGCGCGCAGGGAAAAACTGAAAACACACGAACCATTTTTGAGTCGCGGTCTCCCTGACCACTTCAAGCCTTACAATCTCTGTCAGAAAAGCGAGCAATGCAGTTGGAAAACTTCAGAAACCTTGAAAATGCAGCCATATTTCTCGTTCTCTTTTACCAAGGCCCTGGGCTCCAGATAACACCACTTCTTCTATTGAGCCTTGCATGTAATGTAGTCTGGTAACCAGCCTTTCGGGGAATAATCAAGGCATGCAAACTGACCGAATACCCTTCTATTTGCACGTTGGAGATGTTAGAGGGCGCTATCTGAAATAGCGAAGAACGCAAGCGCAGGGGGCTGGGCTAGGAGGCCTGGGAGCCGGAGAGCGGCGGCCTTCGGATATATCCCCAACACTCACACACGAATCCAGGGGGTGGGGCTGGGTTGGATTGTAGGTTGGATTGTATTGTCTATGAAATGAATGGATAATTTTTGACACTGTAGTTGGACAGGTGGAACTAAGTAATTATTTGAATTTTATTCATTTCACAAGAGATCACTTGAAATACCAATTGCGGAAACTGAAATGAGCATGGTATATTTTATGGCCCTTCCATTTTGCATTTTTAGCAGTGAATTTGATACAGAAAATTGTCAGGTGTAAAGCTGTATGAAATGAGTGAGTGGTCTCTTGAAGAAAAATGGTAATTAGAGGCAGTATTTTGCAAATAAATCAGTGCCTCATCCCCAGAAAAGAATACCATAGCTTGTATACATCTTGAACTCACAGTTCGGACAAGTGAATTTCCACACCAGCCTGCCTGGGAATGTAGCGAGACAGTGCAGGCTTGCAAGAGACTGTAAAGCTATTAAACTGACATGCAATCTTGCTATTGATGCCCAACTGCAAAATCTTCATCTGATCTCTAAGGAGAGCAGATCCAAAAGTGGATGCAGATTAGAGCTGGGAGAAAAGAGCCAGATTCAAAACCTCTGGGAAATCACGCACTTTGCAGGATTAATTTCAATATTTAAAAAAACTAGGTCAGGAGGACGCTTGGAAATAAATCCAATATTTGAAGGGGGAATCCGGGAATCCAGGGGAAAACTGGCGATTGCATTGTGATTAGAGAAAAATACCGGTAACCGTGTCACTACCAGTGTTGTAACCAATTCCCATAATATGTCTCGTTAGTTTTCCAAAGTCAAGTCACTGACAAGTCACTTTCTCTAGCATTTCTGATGTTATAACGGACATGGTCTTTTTGTGACATCCTGAGGTGACCCATGACTTTACAAGACTGACCCCATCTGCCTTGTTTTTGTTTTGTTTTGTTTTCATCACAATGTGCTCATAATTATGAAAACATCAGTATATGTTTGAAATGGGTTTGCTTCGCACAAAGAAAGGTCACACATTTCTCCTTTTATTTGTCAACAAAGTTAGGTAATGCCAACAAGTCAAATGTGTCCAACTCAAATACCAAGTCGTTTTCTCCCAAATCACGTTTTTTGCTCAGGGCAAGTCTCAAGTCAAAAACATTAATTGCGACTCAATCAAAGTGAAGTCAACTACATTGGCAACTTCACATAAATTATCTGTTTTTATGGTGAGCCTGAGCTGTCAACTAAACATATGTTTTATATTGAATGGTAAATAATATATTACCCTGAAATATTGTTCAGCACGGGAAAGTCTTCACATGCATTACAAATCATCCAATCATTTCAAACAGCTTAAGTCACATGCAAGGGTCCACACTGCACAGTTCTTTAAGTGACTCAGTCTCGAGGGGGAAGGGAGACAGGAAAATCTCCTGAAACCTTCCAGCTGTTGGAAATTTGAAAAGTTTGGGGGGGGGGTGATGAAACTGGACACCATCCGGTAGCTAGGTCATGTAGGTTGCATATAAATGTATCGGTACTGGGTACTTTAAGTATGCACTTCAAATCTATTTCTGGCAGTTTGTGTTGCTACATGTACCTATGAACTTATTCCACTTTGCTCCTTTTTGAACAACTTGCATGACTTTCTTTTGTTCAGAGCAGAAATCACAGTGGGAGATCTTATGAATCTTCCACTACTTGTGACCAAATGGTGGGAAATATTCTCCTACAGGATTTAGGTCCCCAGTGAAATGGTTTTCAAACTACTTAGGGTATAATTCATTCCTTTGAGAAATCTCTTTTATCACAATAAGGGCAGTATTACACTTTACCTTACAATGGACATGACTGTAACTGGGCCCCAAGTTGCACTGGTGGAGATCGACGTGCAATTCATTCCCAAACTTTAAAAAAATGACACAATTCTTGCTCTCATTTCAATTGTGTGACAATAATCTTTATTGTGCTGAACCACCAAGGGCGGTGCCACTGAGTTTAAATGACAATAAACAGTATGTATGATCAAGTGACAGACAAAAATGTGAAAATGTGAAGGGTACATGTATTTGGCAAACTGAACACGTTATGAAAACTACACAGTTTGAAGGTGAAAACAAATACAGGAAAACCTCATCCCCTTCCCAAAGATCTCTCCACCCTGAAAAAAAAATACTCGACCACAACTGAGATGCATGTTTATCTTTTTTGAAAATATACCCATAACTGAAAACTGTGAATAGGATAGGTGGATTAATACTAGTTGATAATAGTGTATCTTCCATTAAATGTGTATTAATCAGCTTATTAAAATTATCATTACTCGCACCTCAATGTAAGGGAAATGTACATAAAATAGGACTTTCTTCTATAATAATTATTGCACGTTGAAATGGTCTCTAAAACTTGAGGGGGGAATTAATCCAATTTCTTTACTCTTTGTTGAGTGAAGCTGCTTTTTTTGGCGAGTTTTAAACCCATTTTGGAGTCTACTGGCATTACAACAGAACCCTGACTCCCTGGGTGCAGAGTTAACACAGAATACTGCATTTGAGAATGGTTTAGGACTTAAGTGGAGGCCCTATATACCCGGTAGATCTGGACTCATGGGCAGACAGCTTTAGGATAATATTCTCAGCATGGGAGGGCAAATCGGAATGCAATCTGAAACGGACAATTTCAGGGTTCCATTACCAATGAGGTTCATTTCTTCGATAATTACTGCACTGGCGTCACACTCGGACACCCATTCTAGAACTTGTGGTGCATGCATTTGCACGGGCATTGCTACACAGTTTTAAATGGGGGGAGGTGTGTAATCATGAAAGTTGCTGATGGACCATAAGCAAATTTCATAAGTTTTGTGGTAGTCTGATTCTCCGACCTGACCATTAAGCATGTTAAGTGACCACTCTCCTTCATTTCCCCTTCCTTCTCTAATCTTGCTGACAGCACCTGTTGCAACAACCCCCCCCCCGCGACACCTGTTTTCTCTTTGCAAATAAGAGCACGATGATGATCAAAGAGGAAAATTATGCATGACCACCTACCAACAAGCATGGTGCCTGCACGGCAGTAACGGCTTCTTGTTCTGGCCACTGGATTAGTCTTAAACATGTACTGAACGTCTTGTCTAAAATCTCACATTTGCCAAGTTATAAATGGGCAGTGAGCACAATTGTGTCAGTCAATAGAAATGTCCATCCGGTTCCACCAAATTCTCAACTGCAAACTACATATCACCACAGAATAGATCTGGGAACAAAATATGACACTGAGAACTTTCTGGATGTGTGGTGTATTACCTATACATGTACAGTGTGTTTTTTAAAAAACTTGCTTGATATTTTGAAAGTTGGCAACCACCATTTATTAACTAATGATGTCCTCTTTCTTATGAAACCATGAAATCCAATTTACTGTCACAGATGACTGAGCACGAAGCAGTTCAATCAACTATGTCAGAACTGGTCTTGCACCAGATTGATGTTTTGGTAAAGAGCCTTCTCTGCCCATTGCAGGGCTTTTGTTAGGCCTCCAATTTATGCAGTCCTCAGCATGTTATTCATTGCCCACTCCTTGATAGTTGGAGAGGTTGTTCATTTTCTCAGACCAGCAAAATGCACCTTACAACTAGGCAGCGTGTGTTTGTGGTAACAAAGTGGTTGAGGACTGGAAGCCTCCAGCAAGTAGCAGATGCATATGGTCAGTGTTTTCCTGACTGTGCCATTTCCGTCAAGTCGACAATTTGGAAAAACATCCGGAAGTACCAAAGGGAGGGGACAAGCTTGAATCTCAATAAGGGTCGCTCAGGCCGACAACGAACGGCAAGATCAGATGCAAACATCAGGGCTGTCCGTGAGTTGCTACTAAGAGACCCGCAGGTGTCTGCCAGGAGAAATGGGCTAGGAATTTCGCCATCCCCTTTCCACAGGATTGTTCGGTTGGACACCCAATGTACCCTTACAAGATGCACAGGCGACACGAACTCCTTGATGCATCTTTGTCCGGCATCCCAGATTCTTGGAGCACCTTGTGATTGGAGATGAAGCAGTGCTTTTCATGAATGGCCAAGTCAATAGCCAGAATGTCCGCAAACACATTCCGATGCATACCCCATCCAACTTCAGTTTTGATGTGAAAATGGGCTGAGAGAAGATTTCTCTTTGGATAGGTCTGTGCGGAGATGGCACTGTCATTGGACCCTGTTTCTTTGATGGCAATCTCAATGGTGAATGTTACCTAGAGATTATCAACGACGAAATTGTACTGCAGTTACAGCACAATTTTGAACCACGGTGACATCATTAGTTCATAAATGGTGGTTACCGATTTCCGAAATATTTCGCCATGTCCAAGAAATGAAGAAATTAATCTCGGTTTCCTTTCTTTTAAAACACACTGTATACATGTACCAGCAAATGGGCACTGCACGAGTGTTGCAGTACTCACACAAATACTCACACTCACACTCATCAGAAATGAACACAAGACTCACAACACTCGTACTGACATCAATGTATGACATGCCTACAGGCAATTCACGTGTATACAGACCGGTTCATACTTCAGGGGAACGCAAATGCGAAGCGAATTTGAAGTAAAAAAAAAATTACAGCGAAATTATATGTTCTCGAGTTGAAATGTGTTCAATTCTTTCAAACTTGGCAGCACAAATATTTGACCTGCCATCACAAATTCACTCTTTTGTTCATATTTGAATGCATTCACACCAAGTACAAATTGGCCTTGACCATACAATGTCTACCATCTCTTTCAATGATCTATCTATTTCAATACAAAAAGAACCCTGTCAGAGCCCTGCAAGCCAACCTTTCTGGTGTTTTTTTTTTTTTTAAACTGTGTAATAAAAAAAACTTCTCTCAGCAGCTGAGAGTATTAAAGCCCGTGCACACTATTTCAAACTCGGTACCCTTTTGTGAATAACACAGATGTACATGTTGCATATTTCATCAGGTATGCACGAAAATATTCAATACTGCCTGTGTTTTTGCTTTATGAGCTACATGTATTATGAAGTGAACACTAGTCTAATATGAACCTCCTTCTAAAAATAGTTGTATTTATAGAGAGGCGTGCAACAGCACACACACACATTAGAATGTTCTGAGTGCAGTGATGGGTGACTCCAACACATTGAGATCAATTCTAATTCCCTCCAGGAGTCACAATGCAGCTCAGAATCAACTCCAAATTTCACAACCTTAACAAAATGGAAACAAAGATCTGTTGCCAAGTTCACAAACAGTTCAGCTTGTTTCTGTGATATGCCGCGTGCTACTTGAAAGTAGCACCGACACCACTTCTCTCCAGATTTGCTTGACTGTTGAACCTGCGATGCCATCAGCCCTTTTTCAGCTGTGCGTTCTTACGTGACAGAGAGTGGATTCAACAATGCCAATTCAAGGTTCTGAAGCTTACAAGTAGCTTGAAATTGATTCTACACTATGCTGGCTCTTAACAGTCACCCTAGCGCCTAGTCACTAGACACTGGAAAGTCCTTGTCACAGTCCTGGTTGTGTACAAATTTCTTTTATTAGTTACACCCCCTACATTTGCATACTCTACAAAAATCCTCAAAGGGCACAATGCCAGCTATGTCATTTTCATTTCACCTATAGGCTGCGCCGGTTTCAAAGATATTTGGATCAGTACGCGCATGAGTGTAAAACATTTGCACATCGCACGCACATGCATCTGTTGGCGTTGTACACGTGGTTACAATTTTCCTACATAATTGGCATACAATGAGTGAGATTTTTGTATTTAGACTATGGAGCCTTTTGACTGATAAAACCTTCGGTCTATCAAGCAGACAAAGCTGTGGCAATTTTGCCACAAGACTTTGTCTTCTGCAAAGTGGGACAATGCATTTCTGGTCTGTCAGAGTGACCTCTTTGAAAAGAGCATGTCAAAGGATACATACATGCACATTCCCATCGAGAATAAATTAAAAAATATATTTTGACAGATGTCCTGTCTTTGAACATTAATAAAACATGATGGCATGTATAAGTACATTTTTCAATTTAAATATAAGTTGATCACATGGGTTCAGATTTAAGATAAATAATCAAATACAAATTTGACACAAAGCGATTCCAATTAATAACCGTATCACAGGACATCCAGACATGATTTTCATAATAAAAAAGGCACAGTGATAAATAAATAATGTGAAATTTTGTACAATTCAAAAGTTTTGAAATTAATTTGTACAAGTGTACTATTCTAGTAGTAATCTATAAATTTGCATTTTCATAAATACCATGTATCTTACGTGAGATGTACCAGTAAATTTCATTTAATGAGACATGATTTCTAAGAAGTCTATTAAATACATATTGTACAACTTCCATTAGGTGAAACACATAACTATTGTCATCGAGTAGATGGTGACAAAAAAATTTGGCATACTGTTTACAGGAATTGCTACATAAAACAGAATAACATCAATAACACTAAACTCATGTAAATCAAACTCTGGAATAATTCTACATGATGGAATCATTGATAAATTGTTTAAAGAACACTCTATGAACAAGAAACCAACTTCTTGTCAATGTACATGTATGCCCAAAGTAAAAGTTTCATAATCTCAAAGATCTGCAATAGACCAAATCACTACCTGCACATCAACAGTGGTATCTTAAAAAAAATTAATTAGAATTACTGTGTTCAGCACAGTGTAATGAATGTGTGATTTTTTTCCAAGTTGTTCAAAGATTTGAACTTCCCTACCATTTTAACAACATGGATTCAAATTTAATGAACAATCTTAATGCAGCATTGCCCTTCACAAGGAGCTACATGTCCATGTAAATAATAGGCTGTACCTTTTTGTTTTTGAACTATTATGTTTTTTTTCCAATTAAAACGACAGTTTTTACATGTACATTTAAAATGAGAAAATCCCACACAAATCATGTTCTCTGACCCCTCATTAAGGACTTAGTCATTTTTCATGGTGCATCCAAACTAAAATAATAACAAGGTTTAAATGCATCACATTAGTAAAGGTAGTACTTTCAGCATTTGCAATGTTGACAATTCTGCAAGTCAGTTACTACAACTGGATGACTTTGGAGTATGTCAGGGTCAAGTTGGAGGTGTCAGCATTGCTCTCTTCCCCTTCTTTAATTTTCTGTCTTGAGTACTTGGCGCGGGCATTCTTAAACCACACGTACACAATCCTGCTGTCATACTTGGGTTGGTTCTTGCGAAACTCCGTTCGGTTCAGCTCGGCCACAAACTGTTCGATGGTGTGGCGGTCCGGTTTGGGGTTGATGCAGAACCAGGCTTGCAGCTTCGGCACCTCAAGGCTTGGGTGGATGTTGAACCGCTTCCGGGTTGGGCGGTTGCCAAGGTTTTTCTGCGTGCTGTTCTGCTGGGGGATGCTCAGCCCCCGCTGAGTGTCCGTGAGGGAAGCGTGCTTGCTTTGTGACGGCGTGGGTCCATTTGACATGCTGTTGTGCACCATGGTGGTTGTCGGCACTCGAATAGAGGTCATGCTGTTCGAAGGAGCCATGCTGATTGAAGGGACGACGAGAGTGGTGGCAGAAGTGGGATGGGTGGTGGCAGGGGTGGAATTGCCAGTGGATGCGGCTGCTTTGGAGTTGGACAGATTCAGCACAGTGCTGGGGTCATGTGGGGATGCAGCCATCGTGCTACTTTGGGCAGGCTCCTCAGTTTTGATGTTCTCCACAGGCTGGAGTTTGCGCTCAGTGGCTACGACGTCTTGCACGGCAGGCGACAGCATGATGCCAAACCCCGATGCGATCTTGCGAATGTCTGTCACTTGAGGCGAAGCAGCGGCACTGCTTGAGGGCGTTGTGATGGCTGCCTGCTCAACACCACTGCTGTTGCTGACTACTTTGGACATGATTCTTAGTGAGGAAACATCAGGAGTTGATAACAAGGTGCCTGCATGGTTGTTTGTGCTAATGTGGCCATTGCTCAGGCTAGTCCTGATACAAGTCATGCCTCTGGAGTCAGCCCTCATGATAGGATCGGCTGACTTCTGAGGTGAACGAATTTGGTTGGCTAATCTTGACCTGCCCTCGGTCTTGACCTTTGAGTGACCCAGCTGGATGTAAGTCTGCCGGGGGCCATTGCCGGCCTCGCGCCTCCGCTCGCCCATCTCAGCAATACGGCCCACTGGCGCCTTGCCAGTGCGAGGGGCTCGCTCTGCCTCAGGTGAGTCCGGGCTCAAGCCACGCGCACCGCGGTACTTGGCCCGGGCGTTCTTAAACCAGATGGCAATGGAGGAGTACTGGAGCGGGTGGGAGTTGCGGCGCCTTTCCGACGAGTTCAGCTCGGCCAAGTAGATCTCCAGCTCAGCTCGGCTGGGTCGGGGGTTCATGCGGTACCAGCTCATCAGCCGGGGCAGCTCATAGCGCTGGTCAAACAGTGTCCGGGGCCGTCGCCAATGGCGAGAGCTGGGCTTGACTGGCAGCACACTGTCCAGCTTCTCGGCAGACACCAACGTGTTGTCCATCAGACCATTGTAGATGTTGTACCACTGGTAAAAGGACTGCAATTTCTCCGGCTGGATAAGTTTGGTGTACTTGCCCTGGAGGATAGCAAGCACAGTGCCCTGAAAAAATGCACAAACATTAAGCCAAGTGGCTCCTTGAAAACATATTTTAACTTCATTCATTTTTCATATGATTATATCAGTAGTCTTTAAAAAAAACTAGTTTTAATCTAAACATGTCTGTGAACTTTCTTCCAAACTTCTTTATGTTGTGTTCTACTCACATATGCAACTGAAGGGCATGTTCCAATATGGGCAGATCAAATTCAACAGAATCTATACAAACATGTCGTGTTTTGCATGTGAGGAGTGCCCCAGTTCATTCTATGAGCTCAAGGGAGCCACTGAAGGACACAAAAGGGTACTGATTCCAATATGGGTGTGACCAACTTTCTACTGAATATGCATGTGCCTATAATGTCTTTGCAATGAAAGGAGTGCCCTTGTGTGTTCTCTGTGGAGGATGTACATCAGCACTGGTTCCAACATGGGCATGAGGAATTTTCAAGGCATAAACCCGTGATGTCTTTGCATGCCATGCTGCGGAGTGAACCTGTGTATCAATGAGCTCACTGAGACCTTGAAGGACACACAATAGGCACATGTATGTCTGTTGCTATGGCTACGGAATTCTGTGTTCTTAGAAAAGAGCGAGTGAGCAAACATTTCAGTATTTCCCCAATAAAGCTTCTCAAGAATGTGAAATCTGACTGTCACACATGCTACCATATAAAAGTAAGATCATGCATTTCCACTCCAGAGAGCTTACATGTACCTGGGAGAAGGGGCAGCCATGACTGACCAGCATCGTCGGGCCACGTTTCTCCAACAGCTGCAGCAGCTTAAGGCGGATCTCCTGGGCGCCCCGGGATCCCAGCGTCTCCTGGCCTGCCACTGCCGACGACTTCTTCAGGGGGAAGCCTAGCAGGGTGGGCTGCAACCCAAGCTGCTGGAGGGGAGATTGGGAAGGGGTAGGATTGGGGGTAGAGGAGGAGGGGGCAGAGGAGGGAGTGCGGAAATGGGCAGTGCGACTGCAAGACCAAAGAGGAAAGGAGGGGATTTGGTGGTTAGAAACGCTTGAGAACTTGCTTGTGTGAGATAACCTTCTCTTTGCTCATGAATAATCAGGCATGCAACTTGAACTGTGACAAAAAACTAGGATATGCCAACCTTTACAAGACTTTGTACAGTGTTTATCAATTTTCAATGGCATGAGTGTCAAGTGAAAAATGAGGAAATCAGCTGATCCAAAGAAAGTTGCATGCCTGAATAATGAAAGTTCACACCAAGGTTGTAGTACTCAAACTCCACGAGGGCTTTTAGCAGGGCGGGTCTCACTGCTTTGAAATTTTTCCTATTGGATTGTCCCTATTCTCCACTGTCTTCATAGTTCATCTCAATGCAAAGAAGTTTACTGCACTTTATGGAGCGAACATGATGAGTTTGCCATCATTATAAGGCACTACAGTATAACGCTTTGCAGCATTTGTGATCAAAGCCAGACGTAGTATAGTACATAAGCACAAAATTTTGGACTGGTTCCAATCTACCGGTCATAGCATTTTCATTTTGTCGCGTCAAGAACCAATACCTCGAATGCATTTTCCATTTGAAACTTTGACAGTTTTGAACGGTTTGTCAGAAATCATGAGAACCAAAATATCGACCAAAAAATACAGGCTGGTAGGTCATTCTCTACGTGTGATTGCAAATACATGTACTTTTTCCCAATCTCCTCCCGAAGAACACACGAGGGCACTCCAATCTCCCCTCCAGCAGCTGGACAACTAATTTTCTTGAAATCAATTTTAATTAACAGTCCCTATAATCATTTGCATCTAATGTACTTGGTATGTTTAATCAAAATGACTTTTGGAGTTTCCTTCTTTTATAATTTGGGCCAAAAATAAAAGCACGTTTTTTGGTTGTGGTTTACAATGTAAAGTGCACACACGTACCATACGTTGTGAACTCAACTACACAGTTGTAACAGAAATGTACATGTATGTGACGGAATGGGTTCGTCAACTGTGCAGCGCAAGGGATAGTCGCTTACTGCTCACAGTACAGCTAAAAAACTCGAGTCAAAATTTACACAAGTTTCACTATTTAATTCACTAAAATTGTTATTTATGAACTAATTTTCTTGGAACCAAGAAATTCTTAATAAGAAAATCAGCTTGCTACAATGGCGTTGGCTGAAAATGGATACTTTGCATGGTTACTTTTTATATGAGAAAAAATTTGTCACTATTCAGAACTAGTTGAACCAATTCAGAACTAGAAAAATTGTTGTCATTTTTGACAATCCCTTAAGTCCAAATTATAAGCTTGGATTTTGTAAGTAATTTTTTGGTTATTCCAATACACGAGGTCGACTACTGACCATATTTCACCAAATTTATAGGATTTTTTGTTGCTGGAATCTGACCATGGTGATGTTTTTGAGATTCGGAATTAAGGAAAGCCACTATATATTATCCACTCACGCTGTACCCACGTACGTACATGTAACCCCTGAACCATCCGCTCAATGGCGAGTTCCGATCAGTTAAAAAAAAAAAAAATGCCCCAGAACAAAAATCAACTTCTGATGACCTCCCAATAACAATCTTACTTTCATTTCAAATTGTTATCACAAGCAAATTTGATTCACCGAGTCAGAAGAAAGTGCCCAGGAAATACCTCAGATTGTAGCACAGAGCATCTAGAATCCCAAATTTCCCGGGGCCCTTGCCATAATGGCACTCGCATTGTGTCTGGTCCAAGTCAATTTGGCTCATCAGGCCGGTATTAATCTCTGGTTTCCTTGGCATGAAACGACTGAGAATATTTCTATTCCCCTAGGATAGGATTGCCAGTCCATCGCAGGTTGCTTTCCCAGCTAATGCTGGTACCCATTTATACTCCCGGGTGGAGAGAGGCAAGCAGAGTTGAAGTGGCTTTCCAAAGGCCACAACATACTGCCAGCAGCTGGATTCGAACCTATTGGAAGCCACAGACCCTTGCCACCTGGCCACATGCCCCCCACTCGCATTGTGTGCCGCCCTGCTATGATTGTAGGCTGTGGAGAACACTGCATACTCAAGTACATTGTTTGGGTACTCGTGCATGTACTCATAGAAATGTACTCGTACTCACAAGAAAAACTGGTAATGTATCTGTATTCATACTCATGGTGGAGTACCTGTGCATGTACTTGTATTTATGAAAATGCACTCTACTACAGTACTAACTCAAACCAGAGCGTACATGTACCTTGGACAGTGGTGAAAAATGTGAGCAGTTTGCTAAGGCAGTGATTCAAAAGTAAAATAATTAAAGACTTGGGGCAACAATTCCATCATGGAACAGAATTTTTCTTAAGTATAATATTTATACCACAAACAGTATAATTCATGTCTATACCATGGTCTACATGTATATTGCTGTTATTCTTCTATTTATACATGTATGTTATCATGTAAATAAAGGCATAAACTCTGATGTTTGTTTGTGTACTACACAAGATATCATGAGGGTTTATGTCCACCTGTTACAGAGTTAACCAAACGTGTTATTTCATTGGAGAAATTTTGCCAAATTCAGTTTCTGAAGCATACCGCACACATAGAAGCAAAACTCAATACCCCATAAGAAAAAAAAGTTGGCATCAAGAAGCTGAAATTACGGGTAAATGTCAGCTGAAAGTAAACTTATGAAGAAATAGTAATACAACTGGGTTTCACTAAGAATAGGGTCGTTCTGTTTTCAGATGACCACATTTTAAAGCTTTCATTTGGCATCAGGCCAGCACTACATGTACTGTACATCAATGTGGCAAAAAAGTGCCCAGTCAATCACAACAGCAATTAAATGGTGATAGTCAAAACTTGTAAACAAAAACACTGTAAAGTATTGGTCACATGCACCTCACCTGCTAGCTATTTTAATCTTGAGTGTGATGTAGGAGAGAAGGTCCCCCAGTATCTGGCCGACAGTAGCCTGGGGGTCATCGGTGATCATGCTGAAAGGAAGGGCCTTCCAATTCTGCACCTGAATGACACCTGCACAGATGACAAAACCAGGTTGCAATATTGATCACTCCACTTGTGGTGCCACAGAGTTAAACTTGGACAGCAACTAACAGCAATTAACAACAGGTACACATAAATTACACAATTCAGGTGAGATTTCTTTTTTGGCTGAAATACTGGCACTGTACAAGTCCAAACAAATTTGACAACACCGGAAAGTTGTGACACAGGTTTGCCAGTTCATGTACATTAGATTTCTTTTTCTTCATGTTAACAGCTTGAATATCTCTTAATGACATCATAAACCCACTCTCTGTCTCTTTTCCCAATCAGCTGAAGCTGCAAGTCCCTCACAAGACATGAAAGTGTGGTTATAGAGCATGATTATGCATGCACGTGCGTGAAAAATAATAATAATAATGAAAATTTATAGAGCGCCGGTACCCGCCGCGAACGGCACTCATGGCACTAATAAGCAAAGACATCTAATAACGATAAGTTGAGGAATATTAACCAAATGCCTGTCTATGCCAATATGATTTTAATCTGTCCTTGAATGTGTCAAGTGATCTCGATAGTCTCACAGATGAACCGGTGCTTACTGTAGGTAACTAACTGCACAGTTGAATCAGTGTCAAGAACACGAGTCAACGGCATTTATGTACATGTACTTCATTCTAGGATGAAGATTTTTCCATGAATCCGCAATGCTACATTGTTGAAGAGCCGCACCACCCCAAGCTAAGTTCACAATTTACTCTTGACCGTCAAAACTGTTCTTTTGTAAAGGGAAAGAGATCTCTCATGCCTGTTCCCCATCCTGACCCAGCGGATGTTGTTCGCTTACTACTGAAAATCCTGTAGATCATGGATTTTACACAAGATAAATTACAAGATCCTCGATTTAACCAATGAAAATGATATTGTTTTTCTCAATTTTTCACAAAGCAGTTGACTCAAACATGAAACACGTCAGTGGAATGAAATCTGCAGTAAATCTTATACGCATATATATCCCATAATCAGCCGATCTTGTGAAATTACGACAAAAAACAACTCTTTTTAACTACAAATTAATATCTTAAAGGGTCAATGCGATGATTTTTTTTCTTCAAAATGCACTTTTTTAAGGAGTGTGCTAAACACTCCTTAAAACTATCTGACATCCTTTTGGGGCAAGCGTTTTGAAAGTGCACTTTAAGCATGTTAAATTGTGCATGGTTAGAATTATCTTCAGCAAAATGAAGAGGAACACTGAAGGAAATATCAATGAGAATTCAGCTTAAAAGGAGTGTTCATGGTGTGAGCAAAATGAGAACTTGTTTTAGTTTTCTTTACTATAAAAAAGTGGAATGTCCTCAAAAGGTACATGTATGCAATAGAAACATTTGCACATGTATGGACCGGTGCATGTAGTATGCTGATCACACAGTACACTGTGTGTTGTTTGAACATAAGAGACATCATGACCAAAACGCCTCTAATTCATACAAAAGTCCCATAGCCGAGACCTACACAATCCCACCACAGCTTTTGTTCACAAATACTTAGCACAGTTCCGTGTACATACATGTATACGTACATGTACAAACTGGTCGGCACTGGCCATCTTTACCTGTAGCATTTCGGATCTGGTCCTTGGTGTAGTCCAGTTTGATCAAGGCAACTCGTACCAGCTCCTTCAGAAGCAAGGTACTGGGCACAATGGCATAGCCCTCCACCACACTCTCCTTCTCTTTGGTGGAGGGGAGGTCTACCGTCTCGACAGAACAGTGGACTGGCAGCATTTTACCTGAAGCGGACAGGACAAGAAAATGTTGAACAAGTTACAAATCACATTGATTGGTCAAACAAAAAAAGGTGAAGTGCATGCTGTGATGCGCAATTCCTCACTAAATATTGCACTGGAATTTACATGTACATGTACACTTCAAGTACAGTGTACAATGCTGACAGATTCCCATTGTGTGAATGTCTGTCTGGATGGGTTCTGTTAGTGTTAATATGTTCCTTTGGTCTCCCACACTGTATGCACACCTTATCCAATTTACACCTACTTTCCCATGCAAAGCCAATTTTGAGGGGCACAGCTAAGAAAGTACCTCTGCCTGGTTCATCCAAGTACATAAACACCACAAAGTAAGCCTATTCGAAGTGCAAGGTTAAAGTCGCGTGTTAGGAATGCAGCCCAATTTGGGAAGAAAAAGAAAAATGAATTTTGCTCTTGTCTAGATGAAAAATTGCAACCTGGCTAAGGGATGAGGTACATGTAGAGCAGCTTCATCACCAGGGAAACCTAAATCAATGAGGCTGTGGAAGTACTCAAACATGTCAGCTAGTCATCATCATACGTATAACCATTATGTCTTTTCACAAGTTATCATCGACTGGTAAGTCAATCACAATAAATTCCTAGCAGTCAGTCATCGGTCATCCAGTCTGCAGTCTAAATGATAGGCTCTGCAAATGAATCATGAGGGAAAACACGCATCAGTTTTCCTCCACCATTTACAAACACACACGTTATGAACTGACTAGTGATGTGGATTGTGACCAGGAATTGTGACTGACAAAAGTAAGCGTACATGTACATGTGTACATGTAGCTTACTGAACGAAAACATGTACATGTATGTACATGTCTACAGTGTAAGCACACAACAATATATTGCAACGTACACGCACCTGCCAATAAAAACTGCTTGGTGATTCAAAACTTCTGCATGATTTTTCTCAGAAATGTAGTCACACGCTATATGCTAAACTGAAACTTCACGACGTTACATGTACATGTACCTGTTCATGTGTTTTTAATGCTTTCCTATTGCGTAAAATGTGTACATGTATATGTACAGTGTGCATGTACATGTACATTGTGCACTGAAATCACTGTATATTTATGCAAGGAAATCCTGAGCATGCACTGCCTGAAAAATACCTGTCCGTGTAGCTGTACATAACTAAGAACTGGTATCAGTACACTGTACATGTACTACTACGGTGGCTGGGGAGTTTGGTCACAAATCTGCCCAGCACAAATTGGCCACAAGTGGCACATTTCGTGCTGAACAGAAACTCAGCTGAGAACCAGTTGAAAGAAATACTAATATACTGCATGCTTCCTGGCTGGTAGCCTACCGTATTTCTGCCAAGCAGACATTTTCTGCGCTTAACAAATTGCCGTTCTTTACAGCTCCATGAAACTGGGGCTTCTGACAGAGCACTGCAAAACCTCAATGTCTTTTTTCAGGTCTTACACATCCTTACTGCTGTACATCACTGTCCGAGCGAGTCCTTAAAGGTGTACAGAAACATAATACTCTGCCAACTCTACTGAACTCCTACTAATCTGAAATGCACTGAAGTGAACGAGACTAAGACTGTCATACATGTACACGTCATTACACCACTTAAACAACAACTGCAAAATCTGGGAATATATTTTGAAGTCAGAACAGTTCTTCACTGCTGCTGGATTTGGTCAGGTTTTTTTTTAAATGAAATGCGCATACGCATGTACATGTACACGTAGATGTTTGGGTGTCTTTATTCCCACTCACGTACAATGTCCACATCCTGTTTCCCTCTGGATACTTTTACACTCTCACATGAATGCGAATGATGGATAGCGTTATCCTTTCTTTGAGCACTTCCCTCAATATCCTGTTTTTTTTTACAGCCACCGTGTACACCTGAAGTTGCCAATGAGCCTTGATACTGATGACATGGTGTGCTTCAACTTTAAACACTGTCATAAATTAATTCCAGGAAGAAACTTTTGACAGCCGCAAAGCGCCTAACAAGTGGGCATACGAAATAATGTACGATGGGTTTTCATAGTCAGGCCTGACAGCATTGCATAGCGATTCCTTGGCCCATGAGACTTGTCTAGTCTGCCTCTCCCAATACACCCAAAAGACTTACAATCAGACAATCACAAGATTAGATGGTACAGGGCAGACTCGCTCAATTCAATTCACCACTCGCTCGCTGCACTGAATATATACATGTACATGAATAAGTGGAGCCACTATATTTGATTTTTTTTCCCTTCCATTCCTGAGTCACTCTTATCACAATTATGGGCCGGTGATCCCCTTGACAGAGCTTTCAGAATTTGCTGTTCCAGAAACACCAGCTTCTTCCCAGCCTTTTTTTTTTTTTTTTTTAAGAATGCCTGGGAGATTTCCCCCGCAATGATACAAGATTACAGTGGAGTACTCACTGGCCCATTAACCTGGATTTCTGCAGCAGCCACCAGTCAAGACCGAGATATGTGATGACGGTAATTTGTATAGGAGCTCCTTTTTATCTCTGGAGAAGCCAGGACGTTAGGATATTAAAAAACTGTGCCCTACTTAAGCGTGTGGATATTGCAAAGCCAACGTTAATGGATGCGGTACACGTACATGTGCCATGTACAACTACCAATAGATTACTGCACTGGCCATGATTTTTGCCATGTACAATAAACGGCCTCCTGAATGATCCCTTCAGTGTAACTTCGGCACAATTTTGCTCCCTACATGAATGAACACAGTGTGTATAGTGTGTATGGTAGCACGAGAGAGTAACATTGTGTATCAAAATACCACATGTCACACACACCTAAAACTTCCCGAGGACAGGTACATGTACAACATGTAAAATGCACATGTAGGTCGAGTGGAAGTGGATGGGATGAATTAAGATTGGGGTAGGCTGTGGGCGGAGCAGGGTGTGGCAGAGGTGTAAAGTGGCATTTCCCATATAACATGTAGTCCATTCTTCAACGCTTTTTTATCTATTCTTTCAGCACAGATCTTATTTATTTATAGTTAGATATCCGGATATTTCACAGGATCTTTTGCAGGGTTGGCATAATTAGACGAGTCCAGCCATTGTTTCTTTATTTCGGCTTTAATAATGGGGCTTGAATGAGGACCCTTGAAACTAAAACCACCAAAAAAGTGCCAATCCTTTTTTCCCGGGGGAGAGACTTGAGACGGATTCAAGAATGATCACACATTTAGAACTGGGGGTCCATAATTTGTTATTCAATTCCAAGTTCCTTGTGTATTGCTGAGGGAGGGGATAGACAGGCAGGGGATGGGCTGGGATGGTGTACATGTATGTATATGGGGGGGGTATGAAGTACAGATAGAAACAGGTGGATGAGCATGTACATGTATCAAACACATTCATATCCGGTACAATATACCTGTACAATGCGTATGTTTACAGCACTATCTTGCTCCCTTTGACTTTCGCTATCACTGCCATTATCAGAGACTTACATGTATACAGCCATCCTCTCAGTCTCAGGGTCCAGCTTTGACAAGATAATCCCTCAATTATATCCCTGTCGCCACGACTCAAGCCCTCTGAGCAACACCTGACTGGCGTTACACATACAAGGAGGTGGGGATTGGGAAACTGTCCAAACCTGCGGTACACATCCATACACATACTGGTATGTACATGTACCTGTCTGTTGCCCACTGGCACATTCAGCTTGACATTTGCCAGTTATATATAACTGCCCTAATGACTAGGCCCCTGTTCATGGAAATTCTTTTCCTCTTCTGCATGTTATTTGTACATCTACGTGCAATGCAAAATGTAAGTACTGGTGCACATGCGACATTGCACTTAATCCCAACATGATGGATTGAGTTTACGGTCCAAGGAAGAGCAGATTTGAGTAGACAATAATTTTCTTTTCAAACTGAATTACAGCTCTTGAGGCACTGCCCGTCATTTTTGTGACACCGCAGAAATACAGTTAGAGATCATTTGTAACCGATTACTGCAAGTTTGTTTGATGTACCAGGTATTTCTTCAAGTAATTTCCGATTTCATGGGACCGTGCTCTCAGGGTGACACACACGGTGAAACATAACTTACTACATACATGTACAAGTACTCAGTAATACATGTATGTGCTGGAACATGTACATGTACATGTATGTACCTACTGTATAAAAACCATACCACAGATATTCGTACAATAGATCGATCCAGTTAGCCCCACCTCCTGCGCACATGGGCAACATACGGTACATGAACCGGTAAATGTGCTTCCCTCCAATGCCACACTGCATGTTGCAGCCAAGCACGTCATTCACACACATGTGGCAACACATGCCGGACTTTAGAGCACTCGCATCTGGCCTGCCTGTAACCACAGCTGTGATTGGACGAAAGGCCATGGGTGGGGCTTAGTGGATTGGTCTCCCGGTATTACCTGTTAATGCCACCAAACTACTGGTTCAATGCACATGCACACGTGCCTGTATCTAGCTCTGGGCTCCTGTCCTGCATATGCAAAAGAGCCCTGTACATGTACTGTACAAGTATGTTTACTCCAAGCATATTTGCAAGGAATTTTCCCCAAGATTCTCCAAATTCATCAAATTTAAACAGTTCACAGTAATCTAAAATGGCAACCAAGAAAAAAAAAGTACAAGTAAATGTACATGTACATGTAGAGAAACAAGAGTTATTTCACGACTGTCCAAATTTCACAAAGTTACTGAAAAAGAAAATAAAAGGGGACTTTAATTGATGCAAGGGCATGAATGAGACATGAGTCTGAACAGGCAGTGACATTTAAGAGAACATCTCGCTGCCGCTATGTTTTCTCACCGACATGGTTCTCTACAGCTCCAACATGTCCGAGGTTTAAAAAACAGAGCACACTGAATCAGGGCCACTGAAAACACACCAACCAATCTCCATGTATTCATAATTGGGGGGAAGCTTTACTATCAACCACTCTATCTATTCAACTTGGCCCAGTCCCGCCAGTTCC